ACGAACAAAAATGTTCACTATTAAAACAGTACTTGGTTCATTTGCGTAGCATTGTCTCAGAGAAAATATTTGTGGGGACCAGGGATATTAGTTCCGATTCAGACCGTCGAGGGAAAACAGGGGACACAAATAATCATCCAAGCGTTTCTTGAATAGGTGCAGGGATGTAGCCTCCACGACTGACTGAGGGAGATTGTTCCATTTCTCCACTACCCTCTGCGTGAAAAATTCTGAACGAAGATTCAGCCTGGACATTGTTGCCCGTAACTTCATCGAGTGGCCACGAAGATTGGGTGAAAGGTGCCACTGAAACATGTCCTCAAATTGAAGTCCATACTCAAGGCCATGTATTATCTTGTAGACGAGGATAATATCACCTCTTTGCTGCGGCCTTAAGACCAAGAAGACGCTGAATACGTGCGGCGGAGTCAACGGCGGATTCGTTCAGGTCCGGAGTAACTGTTAACTGTAGTGCGTATAGAATGCAAGAGGCTGCAGTGTATCCGGGGAGGTAGAGATTTATACCTTCCACATGCAAAACTTTAATGAAAATGTGGGCAGCCGACCGCCTTAAAAGCTGACGTAGCTTCAAAGAGCACGGTAGAAAATCCACGGATGGGGCAATAAAATCAAGCGGGGTTATGCCGGTCAAGTTCCACTGGAGCGCAATGCATATGGTGAGCTCTTTGTCCAAGAGATCTTGACGACTAACAGAGAAGCCTGTGTACTGGACCATGTGTTTGACCGAAACTGCGGAAGGTTCCTTCAATTTGCTCGAAATCAAGAAACACGCAGCGCCAACCAACTGGTACTCTCTCTCTTATCAGTGGGCATTATCTGCAGAAACCGATCAATAAATTGAGCAGTGTGAGCAAGCACGTCCACCTCCGTATTTCTATGCTCGCACACCTGCCGCAGCCAATTTAGCAAGGCCCTGCGCATCCATATGGCATGCGCTGGGGGTTCGTAAATACAATAAGCAGGGAAACCATGGTAGCGAACCGCATCGAAAAGCAGGTCGCGGATCACGTTCTCATTTGCTGTGAAGTATGTGTCCACGGTTGAGAGCGGCACAGTTATCGGACCTTCCTGTGCATTTTTGTGTCTCCTACTTGAACGCGCGTGGGATGAACAGACGTTCTCGTCATTTTCCATGTCCACGTCCGAAATGCGCCCAGACCATACGACAAGGGGAATCACACGTGCCGGACGAAGCCAAGACATCAAGTTATGGCGAGCGATCAACGGCGAACATGATGAACGCGCCCTGCAAGAAGGACTGAACCGCCTATGCGAATGGTCTGACAAATGGCTGCTAAAGTTTAACCTAGAGAAGTGCGTCACGCTGCGACTCAAAACGACTGGAAGATCTGACGGAGAGGATCACCATTACCAACTTGGTGGAAGGTGCCTTTCAAATGTAACCGAACAAAAAGATCTTGGGATTAACATTCTGTCGACCCTTAAGCCTTCATCTCAGTATGTTAGGGCGTCCAAAAGAGCAACTAGTGTTCTCTTTGCCATTAAACGATCTTTCGTGGACATAGACAAAGAGTTATTTGGAAAAGTATACGGAGCGTTTATTCGCTCGCATCTGGAATATGGAATCCAAGCGTGGCGCCCGTGGCTAAAAAAGACAATAAGTTGCTAGAAAGAGTTCAGAGGAGAGCAACAAAAATTGTAAAAGGCCTCAGGACTTTACCTTACAACTGCTGACTTAGGGAACTTAAACTTTTTCCTATTGAGTACAGGCAGGTTCGAGGAGATCTCATACAGGCCTATCGGATATTGAGGAACCGGGAATGTGCCCTAAACCCCGACGATTTCTTCACCCTGGTCACAACAACAAACCTGCGTGGGAACTTTCTAAAACTTAGAGTATCCCGATGCCGCCTGGACGTTAGCAAATACTGTTTTTCACAGCGAGTCGTCGGTGCCTGGAACGGGCTTCACGAGGACGTAATAATGGCGGACATCACGGAGACGTTCAAGCAAAGACTCGATGCATATTTGCTGGGACACTATCGCTTGTCTGGACAGAACAGCTCTGTGGTGCTAAACCAACGCCTTGCATACTCATACCGCTAATGCGGATGACTGTCATTACATTTTACTGAAATCATCTACAACTGAATTTTCTCAAGTTTTTGTTCTACATTTTCATGGAAAGTATTCTGTTAAATGTGTATATTACCGACAACATTTCAGTACCATGTTTATTTAAAGTGAAATATTGCATGTACAGTTTGCAATAGGGTTTTCAAAGGCATTGCCTATTACTCTTAAAATATACTGACCTAAGATCTTGAAGATGTGGGACAGGGTAGCGGTCCGGGACAGTAACGTTGTTCAGGGCCCTGTAATCACCGTAGGGGCGCCAGTCACCAGTGGCGGCCTTTGGAACCATGTGGAAGGGTGAGGCCCATGGACTTTCAGACTGGCGGATGATGCCCATTTGAAGCATGTGCTAGAATTCGGCCTTGGCGGCAGCAAGACGTGTAGGCGCGAGACGGCGGGGGCGAGAAAACACGGGAGGGCCGGTGGTCCGAATGTGGTGAACAACGTCATGTGGTGGAATAGAAACGCTGAAGTTGGGGCGAGTGAGGCCGGGGTATTTGGCGAGGAGTTGCCGAAATGGATTCTCGGGTTCAGGGTCCAAGACGGCAAGATGACGGGAGACGTCGGAGAAAGAGATACCCTGGACAGTAAGGTTGGTAGTCTTGTCGTGTAGACGTGACTGACGGCAGTCGACCAGAAGATCGAAAGCGGCGAGGTAATCTGCACCGAGAATTGCACAGGGGATGTCAGCAACGACGAAGACCCAAGGGAAGAGACGCCGGAGACCGATGTCCAGAGAGAGGGAGCAGGTGCCAAATGTGGTAGTCGGCGATGTGTTGACTGCCTGTAGGAAAAGACCGGGATTGGGACACCGACGATCAGCTGGTGTGGGTGGAATGACACTTAGCTGGGCACCAGTGTCAGCCAAGAAACGTCTGTCACTTCGGGTGTCGCGGACGTAAAATGTGCGACCAGCGTTAGAGCTGTCGGAAAGATTGCTTGCACTGACCTTCCGGCTGACCGGTTTTACCCGTTTGTTCTGCTTGAAAGTGAAGAAGCAAGGAGAGACGCAGCGACGGGCTTTAGCACCGAAAGTAGTGTGGTACCAGCAGGTGGCAGCTGCGTTTGGACTGGCTGAATGAGAAGACTGGACATGCGGGGTGGACGACTGAGGTTGGCTCCGAGATGAGGCAGAAACTGTGGACTTCTGGAGAGCGGCTATATCATCGGCCAGCTTGTTGAGCTCGATCTCTAACTGCGAAATGGGAGACGCAGGGGGAGATGAGGGAGTTGAGAGTGCTGAAATAGACGGCTTGGAAAAACCGTGCATCTCCATAAGCCGATCAGCCATCTGAGTAAGTTGCGTGGCCGAAAGAATGCCGAAGGCGGGTGCCAAAATATGCTGCACTTCCGGTGGAAAGTTGTCCATGATCAACACCTGACTTTGTCGTAGATTACGAAGAACGTAGATTGCTGCTCGTAAGGAGTCACCAGTTGTCGAAGTTGTGTCGTCGACAAGATAAAGATTCCCAATCAAAAGTCAGGGAAGACGGTTTGAGTTGGACAAACTTTACTGCCTGAGAAAGTGCGTACACAAGGGCTGTGTGGGCAGTCGCCGCAAGCACGCTCCAAGCCAGCTGTTGTCTGCGTCCGCCCCTGAGGTGTTGTGTTAGCGCGTGTGTGCGCCCATCGTTGTCTCCACGTCGCCAGCCAATCAGAGTGGGGACAGCGTTGATTGGCTTCGAGCACTCGCGCGTCCCAGCAGCGTCTCGACACAGAGTGTGAGGCGGACAGGACGGCAGCGTGACAAAGGCGGAGGGTGAGGAGACGCGAACCGCCACAAGGGATCGAACACCAAAGGTTGTAATGGGAGATGAGTTTACGGCTCGAAGGAAAAAACCATGGTTTTGGCAACGTCGGTCGGCTGGCGTGGGAGGGGTAACACTAATTTGAGCGCCAGTGGCGACTAAAAAGTTCCTGCCACTCGTGTTATCACGGATGTGAAAAGTGCGACCCGTAGAGTTGCCAGAGAGCTCGGCCGCATTTACTCTCCGGCCGAGGAGTTTCCCTGCGTGGACTTAGAGGAGCAGGGTGGGACACAGCGCCGCGCCTTATCGCCATAGTTGACATGATACCAGCATAGGTTTGCGGTCCTGGGGCGAGAGCGGGAACGACGACGGTCACGGACGAAAGAACGTCGAGAGGGACCGGGAGATTGGCGCAGCTGCAAAGAGGCAACAGTCGCTGACAACAGGGCAATCTGTGTCTTAAGTTCAGCCAGGTCAGAAGTGGACACGGTGAGAAGCTGGGAAACCTGAGCGATCCTCGGGGATGACAAACGCTCAACCTCCATCATACGGTCAGTCATCTCCGCTAACTTTGATATATCTAGGTCGTCGGAGCCAGGGGCCAAAATTGTTTGTACCGACGTCAGCAGACGTTCTAAGAATATCTCTTTAAAGAACTTGTCGTCGATTCTCATGTTCCCAACAAGAGAACGCATACGACGCAAGAGTTCCGACGGCTTGCGATCACCCAAGGCTTCCACTTTTACCAGCGCGCGATAACGCTGCCGATCGAAGACTGCTGTCAGGCGAAGAAGTTCAACCTTTAACTTGGTGTAGGGAGCATCAGTCGGGGATCTCTCAGAAACGTTCGCACTTGGGAAAGAATAGTCGGAGGAAGGATCTTGACCAGATTTTAATATTTGTCCGTTTCACGTGTTATCTTGGCGGAGTGAAATGTCGCCTTGATACGGAAAAAATAAAGCTCTGGCGCGTGTTGCCAAAAGTCTGGGAGAGAAGAAACAAGTCCACTAAGTGAAGTAGTGGCATCGTTGGAATTTTTAGAGGTCATGATGGTAGAAACAAGGAAGGCAAACGGACGGTATGCAAATAGAAAGTCAACAAATTAAAGGCATAAGCGCGATTGGACGTGCATCCGTGTTTGATTCAGAAGCTGACCGTCCGTCCTGTGGGCGATGCGGATCCCGGGGTGCTCATCATGATAGGCGTACATCAGCATGGCAAAGAACATAAGACTGAACAGGGGAGGTGCTAGCTCGCATCCCTGCTTCACTCCGTTGGTCACTGCGAATGCCTCTGAGACAGCTCCGTTGTCCGTGACTCGCGCCATCATACCGTCGTGCAGCTGACGAACCATCTGAGTTAATCGCTCCGAACAGCCGAATTTCTGCATGATCTTCCACAATCCTTCACGATTCACCGTTTCGAAGGCTTTCGTCAGGTACACGAAGTTAGAGTACAAGTGGGTTGGCATCTCCTGGCACTTCTCCTGAAGTTGACGGGCCCGAAGATCATGTCCATGGTCCCGCGATGACGACGGAAGTCGCACTGTATTTCCGGCAGAAGGCCCTGCTCCCTGGCAGGGAACCAGGTGTCAGCGAATACCAGGCTGCGAGGGCCATGATTTGTTGATACTACCTTTCCGATCTGCTGACAGAGAAAGCGACACGTGTCCCTTCATTTTGCCAGGCCGGTCACTCCTAAATGTTGAGTAACCAATGAGACGTCGACTGGCATCCACCGCCAATGAAGCACACACTATCTCCTCACATGCTTCAGAGTGTCACGGAACGCTTGAGTAGGCGCTGTGACAGCCTGACTCTCAGTCCTCCAGTCAACCACACCGCAGCACACACACAAACACACGACTGGACAGACTGCTGATGCTGATGATTGAGGATGAGATGGAGTCGTGCAGCTGGCAGTTGTCTGCCACGGGTTTTCGTGAACGCGATTTTGGCCGAATACACACATGCGGTGAATAAATGTGTAAGTGGAATGTGGGCAGTGGTGGCAGGTACGACGGGGGAAGTTCGGTGATCCAGGCACTGGTTCGCCAGACTCTGTGTGATGGATTCGCAAATGACCAACCAGACCGATTTGTGAGGCGAAGGGAGGATCGCAAGTAGGCGGTGTATAGACCGGGTCCTTATAATCGGTGTTGGCGTTGGAGGTGGTGTTGGTGTTTGTTAGTGTGTCACGATTGTTTGTTGTGACAATGGGCGTGTCAGAAGCCACATCAGTTGATGTTGAGGATGATGATGATGATGACGAAGAAGGATAAGAAGAAGATGATGTTAGTTGTGCCTCGGGGCGGGCGATCCAGGTTAGTTGACCTTGTGGGAGGTGCGTGAGGGATGGGAGGAGAGACGAGGGTTGGTGCAGTCCGTGTGCCGCAGTCGAACCGGAGGTGTCCAAAAAGTCCAATTGGCGTCCAGAATGCTCGATGACATCGTGGACATGTTGGAAATGATTGGGTGATGGCGTTGTGAGGCGGCGGCGGAGACGAGGACGACAGTCGATTTTTGCATGTCCCGCGATTGGACTTGGCGGCTGCTGTGATGTGATTGGCTCCGACGATTGTTGAGCCTGTATTCAATGTTCTCTTCCACATTGGTCTGTCCCGGTCGGGGTATTTCCAGTTTGCCAGGTTTATCTGCAGTCGCTTCAAGAGGTGTTGTCATTGTATGCTTTTAGTGCCAAAGAAGAGTCTTTTGAGTAGCCTGTCGTCGTCCATCCGTATTAGTTGGCAGCATTGCAGGTATGCTGATGATCCCTAGCCGGTCCGGTACATCCGTGTCTGGGATCTCGTCCTGCCACCTCAAAATCAATACTTGTCGAAAACGGCTGAGATGGAAATGATTGAGTCTACGTACCTGCCTTATGTACACAGTCCAGGTCACCGCTCCATGTATCAACGTCGACAGGATGACTGCCTTGTGTATTTCTAGGTTCGGGGCTGATGTGAAGCCCGCATAGATTCCAAACTGCATTTTTAGGATTAACTTGCAAAAGCGGCGGGCCACTTCACCGTCGATTTGATGCTGTAGGAGAGGGTGCTGCCCATATACATGAAGTTCTCCGCCACTTGCGGTTGGGTTCCGCTCACGTTGGTCTCAACTCCGGACGAGGACAATGTCTAGTATGCGTCAATGCCACGACCGAGTATGTATCCAAGTGGCCTTGACGATGGGGACCCAGAATTCATCTCCAGGCAGCATGGTCTGCGCCGAAGTGGGCGATGAAATCACCAAGGACAAGTCACCAAGTCGTCGGCTCAGACGCCAGGAGTGCGTGCAGTTCCGCGTAGAATTTGTTTCTCGTCTCGGCGGAACTGTTCATGGGCGGAGCGCGGATACTGACAAGGGTGGTAATTTCTCCACCCCAGAGAGGAAAGCGGAGGCTCGTCAGGCGATCAATTATGCCCCGCGGCAAACAGGGCAGTCGTCCCACGATGTCGTTACAGATGGCGGAGGTGACACCCGCGTCTCGTCGCTTTGCCCTAGGACGACCGCTCCAGAAGAAGGTGAAGCCGGCACCCACCTCCTCCAGTTAACCTTGTTCGGAGAATCGAGTCTCGGTGAGTGCGGCGACGTCACCTTGTAGTGCGCCAGTTCTCGTGCCATAAGCGCCGTCCTCCGGTCCGGTCGGATGACCCCCCGGATTGTCTAGAAGGGAACGAACATTCCAGGCTGCCAGAGTGAGCGGACTCACCCTGCCAGTCTGGGGACAACGAGTGGGGCGGCGCGAATGTGAAGGAGGCGTAGGAGGAGGAGGAGGGTTGAAGCAGGAGGAAGAGTTCGCGGGGGAGGAGGAGAAGAAGGGGAGAGGGAGGAAGGGCATGAGTGCTGTTTCGATTTTGATCTATTTGACAGTGAGTTTCGAGTCTGTGGAAATAATCAACCTACAGACGGTGTGGGTGTCCAGCATTCGTTTAGAACAACAATTCTAACCCATCTCCCTTTGCGGGGATGAGCAGTGCTTTCACTAAATAAGGTTGCGCATATGTCCCAGACGGCTGACGAACTCACTTTAAACCGCGACTTTTGTTCAGTGGAAAAAAGACCAATGTTGGCCTGGGCCTGACTACGGCGAGACCACAATATTTCGACCGTCGCATCCGACGACGTCCTCCGTACGCTCCACAGCAGGGTGAGATCAGCGACAGTGACTTGCGCGTGCTTTAGTTTAAAGAGGTGGAAGACTTGCGCCGAAAGTACCACACTCTTCTCCTCCCCCACCTGCACCAGGCGTCAAGACAGTTTCATGAGAACCGGAGGTGGGGGAGGGCGCAGGCAGATGGTACGGTCGAGCACGCACCTTGGCGTTCCACTCCCCACCCCCTAGTCCAAACAGGGAACAAATGGGTGCTTGAATAACAGCAACAGCTCTATCCCCTCCAATACAGGCAGGACAGAGGTGACCTCATAGCAACGTTCCAGTTGGTAAAAGGACTTAATCTGGATGTCGACTGGGAAACGTTTTTTTGAAATGGCACCCAAGTTCAATCTCAGACTACATGATTACCAGCTTAAAAAGGAACTGTGCCACACAAATCAACGCTCCTCCTTTTTCTCACAGAGGGTCATTCGCCAATGGAAATCTTTGCCGGAATTTGTTGTTAATTCCCCTACCGTGAAGGTGTTCAAGAGGCAACTGGATACGCACCTGCTGAAAGGCAACCCGAACTGCCGAAGCCGTGACGACACACCCGGCTCGGACCCACGCATTGCGAGTGTCATAGAGGCAACTTTAAGAAGGAGACCTTGGAACCCGATTCTAAGTCCATCAGCCAGCCACTCCATACACAAACACGTAATGTCTACTGCGAGATGCAGTTATCCCGTCAGTTGACAACCTTCCAAACCACGGATTTTAGTGCACCGTGATAGCTTCAGATACTTTATAAAGAGGAGGAAAATGCGCTGAGTCGTCGATCTCACTCTCCCTTCACATTCTCAGGCCGCAGCTAATGTCCGACCCCGTCAGTTGACTGGAGCGTGGAATGGGTGCGGTGGCTGACAGGGTCTAGTGAACATGTATATGCGCGCCACATGCACGACCTGGCTCCTCAAACACAAGCACCATGATTACACAAAACTCGCGTTGAGCAGCGTTCATCTGACATGCGTGAGGGTGCCGTGAACACGCTGACAAGGAGTTGTTTCAGTCTGACTCTCCTTGTGCACGGTGGTTGTGGAAGAACGAGATCAAATTTGCATCGTCAAGTAGTTAGACAGATCGCTCACAGTTCTGTATGGCGATGCGGATCCCGAGGTTCTTATCGACGAACAGAAGTTCATGGATGGTGACTGTGGATATACGCGACCGGAAGTGCATCCGTCTGTGGTTGAGGACGTGGCGAGCCGTCCCATAGGCGAGGTGGATCCCGGCGCGTTCGTCACGTTAAGCGTCCATCAACATGGAGGGGAACATAAGACTGCGAATTTGTCCGTGATGCGTGCTATCATGCCATCATGGAGCTGACGCACCCTCTGACTGAATCGTCCCGGACAGCCAAATCACCGCATTATTAACCACATTTCGTCACAATTCACCCTGTCGAAGGCATTCGTTCGATCCACGAAAGTAAAGTGCAGTTGGGTCCGCATCTCCTGACGCCTCTCCTGCAGCTGGTGGGTGGTGAAGATCCTGTACATGGTACCACGATAACGGCGAAAGCCGCACTGACTGTTCCCCAGAAGACCTTAATCCAAGTGATTGTTCAGGCGGTTGAGAAGAACGTGAGCGAATATCTTACCGGCAATGTTCAGCAGGAAGATGCCTCGGTGGTTGTCGCAAAGCTGGCGGTTTCCTATCCGTTTGTATAGGTTTATGATGGTGGCGTCCTTGAAATCCTGCGGGACTTCTCCTTGACGCCGTATATCCTGGAACAGTGCTGTCAGATGCTCCATGATTTGGGGACAATCATGATTAAATACCTCCGCAGAGCTCGCGTCTGATGTGGGCGTTTTCCCGCTGGAGAGCTGCTGCACGGTCCTGATAGTCTCGTGGAGAGATGGTGGGAGGTCAAGGTTGGCTTTGGTCTCCACTTGGGGCGGTCGGGCGATGGCGGTGTCGGAGATGTTGGAAGGGCGATTGAGGACGCCTCTGAATTATTCGGCCCATCGCTGCAGAATTTGTGTCTTTTTTCGATGAGCTTGGTTATTCAGTCGGCGCCGAGGAGAGGTGCAGTACCTTTATTGGGTGGACAGTGGATGGCTTTGATGACGGAGAAGAAGTTCTTCCATTCGATGTGGTCCGCGTACCCTTGGATCCCCTTAGCCTTGCGGGCCGTCAGTGCGTTCTGTATCTCGCACTGCCGCTGTTGCACAAGGCGGCGGCAACGGTAGAATGCTGCTTTGTTTTCGTCGTCTGTGGGGTGGTCGATGTAGGCTTTTTGCAGGCGGTCCTTCTCGGAGAGCAGGTTGTAGGTGGCGGGATACGCGACCGAGGATGGCCAGCGCCCTCGACTGGATTGTGTCCCAGCAGTTCTCCACGGATGCGTTCTCCTCAGCGGCGGCAGCGGTGGCTTCACTGACGATTGGTAAGTTGTCTAGCCGTTGAGCTGGCTCATTGTTGAAATGGGGATGGTGAGCGGGCAAAGACAACAAGGCAATATTCAGCCTACCCGGGGGTCGTTTACTTGGACATCTCCTGTCATGTCCCATTGTCTGCGTCTCGCGACTTCATGCCACCGTGGAGCCGACGCATCATCTGATCTAATCTCTCTCGTTCTCACACTGCCACTTACGCCACCGTTGTTTATTCTGCCCAAAATCAAACCATACGCCTGTACTTCATAGAACGTTGTGCAGTATGCAAGCAGTGCGATTTTGCCGATGTTTGCTTAACTCTGATCGGCAACACGCTCTTCAGCACACTGCGTTTGAATTGCAACCGCTGAAAGACAACAGTTCCACACCACCATCTGGATCACCTATGCCTACATTGAGCTAAGGCAAAGGGCTAGCGTAATTCAGGGCGGCAGTTGCTGTGAGACTGAAGAGGAGATCGAGTAGAGAGTGCGTCATCCTCTTCTTTCACGGGTATCGAAGCCCCAACCTGCTAACACACAACACCAGCACGCCTTTAATCTGCACACACGAAACCCCACCCAGCCAGCTCCCTCCCTCCCTCCGCACCGGATCAGCAGATTTAAGTACAAATCGTTGCACCTAGAGTGGCGTGATGTGCTCGCGTCTGTTACTTGGTTTGTGAAAAATGATGACAGGAACCCTAATGCAATAAGTTCAGCATTCATCAGACGTAATACAGAGCTGCAGGTTTGCAACTAGCTCGCGGGGAATTTATCTGACATATAAGTGATCTGACACAAATGAAGGTATAACCACTGCATATTCTTAAATTGCCTATCCATTAGAACCGAGAGCCCCTTCAGTTTACAGAATGTATTTCCTAAAGTCTCACACATCCACGTTGATTGAATTGTTAAACATCGGTGCCACGGTGAGACTGGAACCCACGACAGCATGTGTTTAACTATGACAAGTAATCCATATCTCCTTATTTTGACTGGCAAGGCGAGCCTATTGCAGCTTGGCCGACTATTTTCGACATTGCCGTTTTAAACTTAAGTACACAGCCGAGTCATTTTGACACGCATATGAAATACTCGGCGCCTCGGTGGGGCATGAACCCACAACAGCAAGGGGAAGCCTTAGTACAGCCAACGCTCTAGCCAACAGATCTAAAAGGCTCCACCGGACGACGCTACATTAGTCGTATCTGTCATAATACCTATGAATTACCTATATGTATAGCGTTGAATACCTATATGAATTACTCGTAGCCATCTGGTGGATTCTAGATTTATTACTTAGGAAATCCTGCCTGGGCAGTAAAATTACTGTGTCAGATTTGGTGGATTCCACAGGTTGCAGTAAGTTGGGCGGGAAACTCGCGTCGTCCGGCGGGGCCTCGTAGGTCAGGTGGTTAGAGCGTTGTCTGTACTGACGCCTCCCCCTTACTGCGTGGGTTCGAAACCCACCGAGGCGCCGAGTTCTTCAAGGTTGGGTAAATATGAATTATTCAATGTCTGCCAAAATATCTAAGAATATATTTCCTAAATACTCACACATCCACCTCGATCGAACTGCAAAAACTCGGTGCCACGGCGGGATTTGAAGCCAAGACAGCAATGGTTTAACTATGTCAAGTAATCCATATCTCCTTATGTTGATTCGCAAGGCGAGCCTATTGCAGCTTCACCGACTATTGTCGATATCGCCGTATTAATCTCAAGTCCACAGACCAGTTATTTTGATACCGATATGAAATACTCGGCGTCTCGATGGGGTCTAAACACACGACAGCATGGGGAAGCCTTAGTTCAGCCAACGCTCTATTAACCTGTGCTAAGAGGCTCCATCGTACGACGCTACAATTATCGTATCTGCCAAACTACCTATGAATTACGTGAGTTTCGTAGCCATCAGGTGGATTATAGATGTTTTACTTTGGAAATCTTGCCTAGACATTTAGCTTACTGTATCAGATTAGGTGGATTCCAAACGTTGTTGTAGATCGAATAGGTAAACTTGGTTTAGATGTGATTAAACTCGCGTCGTCCGGTGGGGCCTCGTATCTCAGGTGGCTAGACCGTTGGATGTACGTAAGCCTCTCTTTGCTGTTGTGGGTTCGAATCCCACCAATTAGGCTTAGGAGCAACTTCGGAGACTGAACCCACTTATTTTTCAGCAGTAAAGCATTCTTGGATATCTGTCGAGGACAAAGTCTACGTATGTCTGAAAGTTGGACCCAATGTTGGCATTCCCTGAATGCACGTTTCCAGTTAACGCCAAACAAACCCGATCTAGCCCGCGTGTTGGTCCAGCGCATCTAATGCCTGACCGATCTCAGGGACACTGCCATTGTTCGGTGACGCACACACGCAACGACTGCGCACGCCACTGACTACCTGCTGCCAAGGTCATCTAGGGGCGCTTCTGCTCGCATTCAGCATTCGGCCATCTGGCGAAATCTGCCAGCTGCGTCATCCATCGAGTGCGATCGATTGTCTCTCGGCAGGCTCGCAGGCCGCCTCACTGTCCAGGGGCCAGCAACTCGAGATGCGCCCCTGATGACTGACTGTCCACCCGGAAAACAAGAAGAATCAGGGCATTCCCACATAGCTCGTGCCGATTCAGTTAATCGTATCTCTGGTTGCAACCAAATCACTAACCAGGGTTAGGTTTGAACATGCGTTTTCTTAAATACCCTTGATATTATTCATGTGAAATCTTTGCTAAGCATAAATCCCGAGACAGTCCAACCTTTTAATCTTTTTTAGAGGAAGAAACGGAGACAGACAGCGTACCTGCCACCAACATCTTCCGTCGACCGACTACCAAGGAGGGTAACGTTTCATGAGATATTGGGTCAAAGTCACTTATGCCGAATTCCCTCAATAGCGAAGGCGGAAAGTAACTCACACAACAGTCTATCGCATTTCGTGGGGTTGGGCTACATTTGCTTATAGGAGTGGGACACTATAAGGACTTGGTGACATCTGTCCTAATTCATAGTGCCAGGTCCGCCGTCCACGCTCTAACTGTCCCTGTAGCCTGTTGCCTCAATAAGTAGTACGTGTGCCATTCATATTAACACACATGCTCCCTGATCTGCGATCTTACTAGCGTTGCTCACTACGTCAGCAAATGGTCATCTCCTTGCTAAACCTACCTCGAACACATAATTAATTTCCTGCAAAGATAAGCTAGGGATTGTTTTATCACTCCACGTGTTGGCCACTTTACACCCTTTCGCAGTTTTTTTTAAAGTAAAAATGATAGGTCATATTTATTAGCCATGGGGACACCTGGCGGTGAGAACATCTCCACTACGTTTAATTCTTCTCTAGTATCATATCCGCTGGCGACAATGATTGCTCCCCAAAGCCATGCATTACTCCCGAAAATGAGCATCTGCCTCGTAAGAAATAACTTGTTCATACATTTCATTCATTGCAGAGGTAAACACATCGTTAACTATCGGTCGCCGTAGGTGTTGGGCACTGCACACCCATTCTTCGTTTTGAAAAAAAAACGAGAAAACAGCTTACACTGCGAGTCGTTTATTTCTTAACATACGAGTCACAGAAGGAACATCAAGAAATACAAAAGTTTACAGGCGAATGCCTGCAGCTCCAGCGATGTTTGCGAGCGTTTTGAGTGATTTCTTCGACGACCAGATCTAAGATGTCAAGTCGCTGCTGACATCAGCTGATCCACGCGGTGTTTTGAAAGTCTCCACCGTGTTGCCTGATCCATACCGGCAGCCTGCAAATTTTAAATAATTCCAGTGAATTTCTTTTTTCATAAATATCAAAATATCATCTAGGGGCACCCATGTCCGCATTCGGTCACATGGCGGAATCTACTTCCAAGGACTGAGAGCGAATCTGCTTTGGCCGCACATCAATCACAAAGCAGGTGTCAGACACTAGAAGCCTCGCAACAGACTAGGTGAACCGCTTAGCATTACAAACTACTGATTCGACGCGGAGGGCAATAGTTGGATAGCGTTTTGCATGTGCAAATTGCAACTCGCGCGTTTGCGTGTTTATTAAGAGGGCAGGAGGATGACGCACATACAAACTGATCTTCACTGCAGTCGCAGAGGGACTGGCGGATGCACGGACGGCGATCGATACCGCGTCATCCTCTTCCCACTTACTTGACGCCCCCTGACACACACAAAAAACACACAACCACACACGCGATAGTTCGACCATCGATTTCGATGATGTCCACCGTGTGCCCCACATCTGCAGCAGCAACAGTGGGAGCAGGGACG